TTAGGCTGCTGCAAGTACTGAACGTTTCTAAAGCAGCTAGACCTGATTCAATTCACCCGAAGCTTTTGCATGAGTTGGCGGTGGAACTAAGTGGGCCGCTGACGCTGATCTTTCAGAAATCACTCAACAGCTGTACATCACCTTCTGAATAGAAGGAGGCTATCATCTGTCCTGTCTTCCAAAATGGCGACGAGAGTCTGTCAGCCAATTATAGGCCAGTCAGCCCGACCAGCGTCGTGGTCAAACTGCTTGAAAAGCTAGTGGGAGCTTCTTTAAAAGGTCACCTGAATAGATTTAATTTACTCAGTAGTGCACAACACGGATTCCGGAAGGGGTTTTCGGGTCTGACGAATTTGTTGGTTGCTCGTGAAGCTTGGGCCGAGGCAGTAGGGCCGGTGGCCGAGTGGTCTGCACGTTTGCTTTGCAACCATAAGGTCACCGGTTCGAATCCGCGTAGGGGTGGGCGTCCTCGCGGTATTCTCAGCCCGCGCGCGACTGGTGGTGGTCGCGCGGCAGCGAAGCGCCGTTACGGCGTATAAGCTGACACATTTCATTTTTCATTTTCAGTAGATAATGGTCACGTAGTGGATGTGCTTTTTGTCGACTTCTCGAAAGCATTTGATAAGGTACCGCACTTGAGGCTGTCACAAAAGCTGAGCTCCTACGGCGTATCTGGCCGCTAACGTAAAACCTTAATTCGTCAAGCAAACCAGAGTCTACGCGCCTACACCTTATCAACAAGATACCGTCACAAGCAGTTGGCTATCATGCAATATATATATATATATATATATATATATATATATATACATATATATATATATATATATATATATATATATATATATATACATATATATATGGTTGGCGGCATCCGGTTTCGGATTTGCTTGTCACTGTGGCCAATCACAGGACGCCTGCGCCTACAGAGGGACCATGGGTGGCTTGCGCTGCACCACCCACAACTCCAACCACATACCCCATATCCAGGGTAACATCGAAGGTATAAAACCGGGAGGCATGTGGATGGAGCCACGTTTCATCAACGGAGTTGGCCCACACTCCTTCACAGGCAAACACAAGCACGCTGTATTTGGGGAATCAAGTGACACAAGGCGGTGGTTGGACCGTAGTCCGCTCCACACTGAGTGCATGGAACTACTCTTTGATCCTAACACGGCCACAAGAACCGTGCACCCCGTCCCCTCCAGCAACGACCCTCTGTCTCCTACAACCAGTATGGACGAGGTAATGGGTAATAGACAGGTAGGCACCTTGTTAACATGCACATCAAGCACAGCCACACCGGGGATATCAAGAAACAGCCAATCACTTGAGAGAAAGCTAACAACGAAAATAAATAACTTTTGCCCACCTCGATTCTTGCGCAGCTCGGCGTCTCCTAGACAAAACAAGGTCCTCCTCGGTAGGTTTTATAACTTTACACCCGCAATCAACCGGTTGATTCACGCCAGCTGATAAATCTGTGCCCTTACGCCTGCTCTGTTTGACGCCTTGACAAACCCGACAGGAAGGAAGACAGAAGAAGACTCAGCAGACCAGAGTTGTATTAGGACAGAGAACGCTCATATTTATATGTCGGTCTCACCAACCCTCCAAACATCACCAGGCGGATTTGGCTGTAAGCCCACGCTCCACACATGCTTGTCCGCTCCGTTTGTCCAGTTCACCGTCTTGCTCAGGCATCCCAGTCTTCGTCTGCCTACCCGGTGCATGGTAACGCACGTGATGTCTGCCGCACGATTTCGTCAGCTTCCGGTCAGACCTTGGCAACACGCCTGCTGTCTGATGCGCGATTTCATCAGCTTTCGGCTGGCCCCTGGCAACACGTTCACAAGGTGTTTCCCAAGCACGATTTGCGGCAAAAAAAGCGAGCGTTGTCAATCAGCTTTCTTGCCCAGCTGTCACCTCCCTTTCAGAATTGAGTCAGCTTGCACACCCTTCGAACTTGATTGTGTTCGAGCTTTTCGCCTGGGGTTCGATTTGCAACCGTTGTGGTCTTCTCCGCTTCCGAGCCGGACTGCATTGTGCATCTGATTTCTGCGGCATTTGTTTTATCTCACCGGGTTGCTGACCCTCAACTTCCAACCCGAACGTGTCTGGTAGAATGTCCCAATGCAAAGCTGGTGGTTCGTTGGGACCTTGGGTTTTGCCATGGTTCGGTCTCAACTGATTGATGTGCATAATCCACCTCTCACGTCCAACCATCACCTCGTAGATAACTCGGCCTTTCCTGCCGATAACAGTTCCGCTCGGCCACCCCTTCGGCCTTCGAAAATCGCGGGCGTAAACCATGTCACCGACATTGAAGTTACGGAGCTTGACTTTACGATCTTCCTCCAGGTGACTACTGCCGTGTTTTTCTATTCTCCTTAATAAAAGATTCTCGAACGACATCCGGATCTTTCTTCAAAATTGTACTCCTGTGGGGGATTTCCTATCAAGGGAGTTTGGATTCAAAGCGTTCCGATACATGCATAGGAAAGATTGAATTGCATCCTGTGAAGTCCTTCTTTGCCCTGCTTTACAGAGTGCACGTTTGAACGTATCCGCAAACCTTTCCGCCTTTCCGTTTGATTGCGGATGATATGGTGATGAGAACATCTGCTGAATTCCCTTTTCCTTGCACCACTCGCGAAAAGAAGTCGAGGTAAAGTGTGTCCCATTGTCTGTCACTAACACATCTGGCAGGCCGAAATATCGGGACAGCTTCTCCAACTCGTTGACAGTGTGCTGTGCATTCGGATTGTTTACCGGAATCACATCAGCCCACTTGGTGAATGAGTCGACCAAAACGAGAGAGGATTGGCCATTGATTGGTCCTGCATAGTCTAAGTTTATTCGTTGCCACGGTTTTTCTGCTTTAGGCCAAGGTTGCCACTGGCACTTGGGAGGGGCCTTCGCTGCAAGTTGACAAGATTCACACCGTTGGCAGAATTTTCCATTTCCGAATCCATTTCTGGCCAGTAAACAAAGCTGCGTCCCAAGGCTTTCATGCGGCTGGTACCAGGGTGCCCCGTTTGGAACTGCTGCAATGTTTGACTTTGCAATTTCGTTGGCACCACCACTCGATCTCCAAACATCAGACAATTGTCCAAGACTGACAGGGATCCACGTCGATGGTAAAACGGCCGCAACTCCATAGGTATGCCTCCATTTGGCCAACAGGTTCGTACACACTGCATCGCTTTCTCCAAGATTTTGTCCCGTGATGTCTATACGAATGGTGTCTGCTGTTACTGGTAGTCTTGTCACATTATCAAACAAGATTCGTTGGACTTCTGATTCGAAACTGATAGCTGCAACCACACAATCATCATTCTCCTTTGGGTGTGAATTGAAAAGACGAGACAGGACATCAGCTTGACCGATTAGTTGCGTCGGTTTATACTGTATACTGAAGTCGTAGGCCAGTAGGATGGTCGCCCATCGTTGCAACCGGTTTGCCGTAAAAACTGGAATTCCTTTCTTTGACCCGAATATCGACAGAAATGGCTTGTGGTCAGTCAGGAGCGTGAAATGTCTGTCATACGGCATCTTATGGAACCGTTTCATTGCGAAAACGATCGCGAGCGCTTCCTTCTCTATCTGGCTATAGTTCTTTTCAGCTGGCGTTAGTGACCGTGCTGCGTGCACCATAGCCTTCTCTCCTCCATGCTGAAAAACGTGGGAAATAACTGCACCGACACCATAATTGGAAGCATCCGTAGAAACGACAATTTTGAAATTCGGATTGAAGTAAGTCAAGTGTACATCAGAAGTGAGAGCTGCTTTGACTGCATCAAAAGACTGATGGCACACCTTCGTCCATTTCCAACCCTTGCCCTTTGTCAGTAGCTGGTTCGGCGGACCTCTGATTCGGTGAAGGCTTGGTAAGAAAACGCTGTAATGTCTAGCGAGCCCAAGAAACGATCGGAGCTCTGCAACGTCTTCTGGTGGCTTCATCTTTTTGATGACTTCAATATTGGCGGGATCCGGGTACCGGCCATGTTGTCGATGATAAACCCAATAAATTTGACACTTTCTAATAGGAACTCACCTTTTTCAGCGCGTAATCGGAATTCAGCTTCTTCGGGACGCGAAAGCACTCTGAGCCCATAATCAACGCATCGTCCAGGTATACTGCTGTATTTGGGATATCGTTCAGTAGGGTATCCATTATTTGTTGAAAAATGGCCGGTGCGGTTTTCACTCCGAACGGCAGCCGGTTGTACTGCAAAAGTCTGAGGTGGGTATTTACTGTCAGTAATGTTCTGCACTGATGGGCAACTGGGATTTGCAAATACGCATCAGCTAGGCCAAGTTTTGCGAAACACTTCCCCCCATAGAGTTTGCTGGACAAGTCGTCTGGTACCGGCAGGGGATACTGATGATCTTCCAACACAGAATTGAAACCTGTCGAGAAATCAGCACAAATACGGACTTTATCGTTTCCTCGGTCGCATCCGAACGATTGCATGATGGCGTGTCGTCATTATCGAGTGTTGATATTTCTCTCATCCGGTCCTTTTTCAACTCAGACTGGGTCATGCGGTTCGGTCAACATAAATCTCATACTCACTTTTCCGTCGTCAGCTCTGTACATTCAGTTCCTTCTATTCATCTTATTCTTCATCTCTTTTCCACACACTTGTACTTCCCTTTCTTCATTGCCGAGATTTCTTTTCACATTATTACTCACCATTGGGTCGGCCGGTGGCCAAGTAGCCTGCGCACCTGGTTTGCAACCATAAGGTCCCGGGTTCGAATCCGCGTAGGGGTAGGCGTCCTCGCTGTATACTCAGACTGTGCGCGACTAGTGGTGGTCACGCGGCAGCGAAGCGCCGTTACGGCGTACAGCCGGCACATTAATAGTATTATTATTATTATTATTATTATTATTATTACTCACCATTGGATCTCCCGCAATCCATATGATGTCCAATTTTTTAGCCAGGGAATCAGAACGTTAGCTTACTTATCGCTTGTCATTTTTTTTAGCAAGGCTAGTTCCGATGAATTGGTTCAAGCGTTGTCCAGTCCTTGAATCGTTTGATCTTCATGGTAAGTTGTTTCAATTCTGTTCTTTCACTTTATCAGGTGTTGCTCAGTTGATCAAGAATGGGCATGTAAAGAATGTGATTACATTAACTGGTGCTGGACTGTCAACCGGTAAGTGCCCGCTGGTATTTCACTTTTTCTCTATTCGCGTAGTTTTGTTTTCAGCGTACTCTCCGGCACACTGCATTCCCATAATCATAGCTTTTCTCCCATAGTTCAATTAGTTATGATTTTCGGTGTCGATCGCTGCACGACCTGTTTCGTCCTTGAGTAGAGCTGTGAGCGGAGGCCGCCACTAATTGCTTGAGCACCAACGCGTTTGTCTAGTTAGCGTGACGTCAATCACTACGTGCGGGGTCCCACACACCTGGTTCGACTCCGCTTAGGTGCGGGTGACCTCACGGTATACCCATCCCTTGCGAGACTGGTGGTGGTCACATGGCAACGAACCGTCGGTCCTGTGAGTCTGCTGGCTGCGGATATTTTCTTCGTTTGTATTCCAATCTCGTTTCTTCCGGAAGCCTTCAAATTTGGAAGAAACCGGTCATGGAGTGCAATATTGGAATCGAGCAACTCTGAAACTCACCAATCCCAACGCTTTCGCAGTGGTCAAAGATTACAGTATGTCACAATGCATGTACACATGGGGTACTCCAAAACTCAGTTGTGGTCACTTGGTTTCCTTCTATGACCTGATTTAACAGGACAGCTAGTAGCAGACAGACGAGTGAAGAATCATGGTATGTGAGCCCACGCGCTTTTCACTTGTAAATAAAGGTGATTTAAGTTTATGATGAACAGAAGTGTTGTGACAGCGATAAACAACTTGGAATAGTACCAACTTTCATTTTCTTCTTAGATTCAGTAGATAACTATCTACATGAGCTGCTTCATGGCGGAGGCTTTATTTGGAAGCAAAGTTAGTTCGTATGCGGTAGCGTTTCACTCAGTCAAAAGGGGTGAGTAAGTAGGCCCTCTGTTTCCGAGGTGAAGTCATCATCATCATCATTACACGTTAGCTGGAGGTGGAAAACACCTCAGCTGTTGTGCCGCAATACAAAAGGCAAGAAAAGAAAAAACAAACAAACAGTGGCACGCCCGCTGAGTCCCCAGTAACGGATGGACATCGTTCCGGAGAGCTAACAGCTGGCTGCCGTAAAAGAAAGTCATATTATGCCTAACGATTGAGATCGTGATTGGAGGGGGATGCTAAACAGGAGGGGGATGGACAAAGGAACTCACAACACAAACGCCATTGGGGCCGGCTCCTAGCCATATCAGCAAGTGTGTCCAGCCAAACGTGTTCACCGTCCTTAGGACCCCAGCCAGGCAGTCGGGATGCACCAACCGACGCCAACTTCGAAGTGAGGGTTTTCATTTCTCGCGACCAAGTCATCACTTGGCCTCCCCTCCTCCTCTTCCAACCGCACCCACAACGCGCAAACAATGCACGTCGTGGGAGTCGGTGTGCTGGCATGCGCAAGACGTGGCCCAGCCATCGGAGCCTGGTGCGTGATATAATCGTGCTGAGCGGTTCACTCGCTCTTCCTGCACCAAATACGCGACGCCGAACACGCTCATTGCTCACGCGGTGTTCCCACCAGACATGAGCTAAGCTGCGAAGGCAGCGATTATCGAACGTGACGAGTCTCTTCATGTCTGTCGACCTGATGGGCCAGGTTTCACAGCCATATAGGAGAGTTGAACGGACGGCTGCGTTGTAAACTCTGCCCTTGAGGGCGAGAGTAATGTCGCGTCTGCGCCACAGGTGGCGGAGATTGGCAAAAGCACCTCGAGCTTTTGCTATACGGTTCGTAACCTCATCTACAATCCCACGGGTGCTAATATAGCTGCCCAGGTACTTGAATTCCTGAACGACTTCTAGCAGATCACCACCAAGCGTTAGCGCAGGATTGGGTCCCTGCCAATCTTGGAGAAGTACTTTGCATTTTGATGGAGCAAAGCATAGCCCAAAACGACTGACAGCCAGTGCTAATCGGTTCATTGCTGTTTGGCATGTTTGGGAGCCGTCACAGATTAGGGCAATATCGTCTGCATACTCCAAGTCAAGAAGTCGCTCACCAGGGAGTAGCTCCACACCTTCTAGGTCGTGTCCAGCGAACGCTGTTTCCATGACTTCATCAATAGCGAAGTTGAAGAGGAAAGGTGACAGCGGGCATCCTTGTCTCACACCGCTGGTGATACTGAAGGGTGGCGAGAGTTTGCCATAAACCCTCACCCTGCCCGAACTATGTGCGTACAGCGCTTTGATAATGTCTACATATTTATCAGGCACACCTTTCCTCAGCAGACAGTCCTAAAGGGCACATCCACTGACTGAGTCGAAGGCACCTTTGATGTCAAGAAACACGACAACGGTGGGTCGCCAATAAACATGGCGGTGCTCCAACACTTGACGCAATGTGAAGATGTGGTCGATGCAGCCCCGACCTCGACGAAATCCGGCTTGCTCTTCACGAATTTGGCTTTCACGAGTGCCAGTCAGTCTGTGGAGAATGAGAGAGGCAAGCAATTTAGAGGCAATCGAAATCAGACTGATCCCTCTATGATTGCCACATACCAAACGGGAGCCTCCCTTGAAAATTGGGACAATGACGGAGCGGTTCCAGTCTGTCGGGACTGTCTCCTGCTCCCAAAGTTTTACTAGCAACTCGTGTAGATCACCTATTAGAGCAGGTCCACCGAACTTGAAGAGGGCTGGAGGAATAGTATCTGCTCCTGCGGCCTTATGCAATTTCAACAGCCTGATCTCACGTTCGACTTCTGCGCGTGAGGGCGGATCCAAGGAGACGGCCCAAGGAGAAGGGCGCTCAATGCCCGAAGAAAGTGATAACTCAGGTTGGTTAAATTGCATAGCAAAGTGTTCAGCCCAACGCTCCAAGCGTTTTGACAGGCTGTGGATCATCTGCCCACTCTCGTCGCGTATGGTCTCGCTAACACCAGGTCTCCTGCTGCCTGTTGCCCGTATCAGACGGTATAACTTACGATGATTACCGATGGCAGCGGCTGTTTCCATCTCAGATGCACGATGAGACCACCAGGTTTCGCGGTCCTTCTTTAGGCTAGCACGTAGTTTCGCCCTGAGATTTTTGCGAGATTCATTGTATTCGCTTCCAGCCGGAATACGTCGGCGAGCATCCATAAGTTCCAGAGACTGTGTAGAGACCCAATGTCCGGTTTTGCAATTTGTTTTGCCACATGAAGACATGCCTGCTAATAGCAACGCTTGACGAGTGTGCGACCAGTGGTCTTCAACGGTGTTTAGTGGGCGCTTACTCAGCCCAGATGTCAGCGCATCTTGGTACACATTCAGAACATCTGGCTTCGCCAGCTGGCTAGTGTCAATCCGTTCACATCGACGTCGCGGACGTCCACCGAAACGCACCAGGAGGTCGGCACATACAAGTGCGTGGTCAGAGTCCACGCTCGTGCTCCAAATCGAGCGACAGTTTTGGACACAGCCTCTCCAGCGGTAACTGATCGCGATATGATCGATTTGCGTCCATGACTGGCCCGAGGCTGGTGGCCGCCAAGTCACACTTCTGCGGGTGCTGTGTCGAAAGTTAGTGCTCGCGAGAAACAGGCGAGCATCTTCACACAGCTGGAGCAATCGCTCACCATTATCATTACGGGAGCCTACACCATGTTGGCCGCCCAGATGAAGCTCATCAGAGGACAATTTTCCGACTTGGGCGTTTAGATCGCCAGCCAGCACCACAGTATCCGTGCTTCTTCTGTAACGAAGGAGCTCGTGAAGTTGCTGGTAGAAATCATCTTTTACCGAATCAGTGCTACAGTTTGTAGGGGCGTAGGCCGCAATGACAAACAGGCACCGTTTGTCCCCGCGCGACTTCGAAGCACGGAACGAGCCAGCTAATCTAACGGCGCACATCCTACTGTTTACTGGGATCCAATCAAGCAGGGCAGCTTCAGCCCGGGGACTCAAAACAATGCCGACGCCGGCTTGACCGGCATTTGAAGCTGCATCATCGCCAGATAGGCGCAATGAGAATGTGCCGCCAGTGTCGCATGTGGGGGATCTCAGGGTAAGCACGGAGCTCGAATCTTGCAGGCGGGTTTCTGATAAACAGCAAATATCGATCGTTAGGGTCTCTAGTGTGCGGGCAAGTGCTGCCTGTTGGCCAATCTGCAGCAAAGTGCGCACATTGAGGCATGTCAGTCTTAGCGAGACACGAGGACTCCAAAGGGAAACGGATGAACTGACGTTGTCCGCTTGGTTGAACATGGACTTATCGACTGGATTGGAGCGAGGCCCTGCGATTGTGTGTGATTTGAAATTAGAAGACAAGCGACTATTGAAGTAAGCTGGGGGAGGGCCAAGAATTGAGGGATTGAAAATGGGGGGGATATAAGTAAAGTTGGAGCGGGACAATAAGGATGCAGAAGCGCAAGAAGGGGTATAAGAAGACGGGAAGGCCTGAGCAGTAGCATCCAAACCCCTATCCACCCTGCTCGATGTAGCAGATAGGGCGCCGTTTATTATCCTCTGCGACGGCCAGAGCATCAAGAAATTGTTGTAGGAAAGGTTAATTGTATTGCGTGGGCAGAATACTGTCAGGTTGCCCAGGCCTAGACAGGAGAACGATTAGGGTTCTCAACCAAAGCCTTTGGTTCAAAAACCTTACCGCAAGGCAGCGGGTTTTGGCACTGGACTACAGAGCCCGTTTTATGAAATGAGGAGCCACCCCCATTCCAACCCCCAACCTGGAGGACCAGGAGGCTGAGTTTGTCTGGCCTCTAACCATTGACCAATCTGGTATGAGTGGCTCTAAAGGTGCAAAAAAGAGCACCACCCAGCATAGCTCAATGGATCTCTGAGGCACGCAAACCATCGCACCACGGTAAGGTCCAGCCTCATTGCGATGGTCCGAGGTGAAGTGAACGCACGCGTTACCGAGTTGCCTCAATTCCACCCCTTGGACACAACTTTTTCTTAGCATTTATTCAAGAATGGTCCTGAACCATGTTTCTTTCGTTGCGTATGCAGATATGTTCAATATGATTTCTTCTGGATCGGTATTAGCCTTGTCGTTGTATTTGACTACCAGACCAGCTTCCAGATTGATACG